GGATCACAACTAAGATTGCTTCCGATAACAATTTTGATATTCAGATTTCGATCGAAAATTGCGTTTAATTTTTTATTTGTTTTTTGGCTACGCTTTTCCGACTACGGTGATCGAACAGAATTTAATACACTCATTCGTGCATTGGGTATTCATTCGTCCGATAGTTATCAGATTCGGATGAGCCCAACGGAGCGTGTCACGAGTTTTCTTCTTCAATAGCGTCTACGGTCGGAGAGCTCATCGGGCCCACAGCCGGCGCGTGAGATTGGTTTGTCATCCGAGCGAAGCTTCATCGTTCCCGGGTATCGCTCGCTCAATGTACCAGCGTCTCCACTACTTCTGTGCGGACGATCTTGAGACAATTCTGTGCGGGTCGTCGGGCACGTAAAACGCTCGCGCGCTCTTCGCCGGGTCGCACGGGAGATTTTCTTTCAGCGGAAACACTAACGAAAAAAAAGAAAGAGAAATGGAGAAAACGGCGATCGGAAGGCGGGTGAGGAAGAAAGAAAGAGTGAGACAGCGGCTGCTTCTTGGATTTAAGATCTCGACGGTTCGTGAAGATCGAGAGAAAACAACCTTGCGATCCGCGAAGTTGAAAGAAGAAACCGGGACGGGAATCGGGATGGTGGATGTTCAGGGGTGGAGAATTGAAGGAAAGCAGAATAGATACATCGGGGACGAGAAAGAGAGAGAGAAAGAGAGAGGAGGGGGAGAGAGAGAGAGAAAACGGAGTTCGTGACGGTGGTTACGAGGCTCTGAAGCGAAAGGGGAGTTGGCTGGTCCATAATCCATACGTCCGCGGGAAATAAATAATACACGAGCACCGGGACCGAGGCGGACAGCTCCGGATGTTGGTCAGAGAGGATGAACCCCTATTCCCATATCCGAGGAAAATATGGAATCCGAGTCCGTTTCCGTGGCTTGTCTCCACCCATGCTGCTTCTCCTTCTTTCTTTTTCTATGATCGTGGAGAGACGAGAAGCCCGTTCCGTATAAGAGCTCCTTCTTGCCGCTCTTTGAACGATATTCCACCTAACAGCGCGTACTCAATGCGCTGAGAACGTTCGCGGTGTACTTTCGCAAGATAAACCGTGTATGAGACATGCGTCGTCGCAGAGAACGCGTCCTCCTAATTGCACTTGCGAAGCTTTTCACGTGTATTTATTTTTCGAGTTGGGGATAAACACTTTTGTGACATTTCGTACCCCGGACGAGTAGATGTACATAACGTACATTTAAATGTATAGACGTGTGCATAACATGTTTTTTACATTGCATTTAATTTATGCGTTTCCGCATATTTCATGTGATGCTACATTGAAAAAAATGATGTAGCCTCAATAGTATTATTTTTTAATTAAAAATAATTTTGTTAATTCATTAACACATTAATTAAACAAGTACGTCATGTTCTTTTAATAAAGTTTTATTTGTTTCATTAACATGTGCTAACAAAGTTATTTTTACTTAAGGATGTATCTGACTGCAGTCCCTACTAAAAGTTTGAAGTTAAAAATGTGTTAATATTTACACTTTCTATATATAGAAATTATTTATTGTATTTGTTGTTGTTTTTTATTCTTATGTTTCCTTACATATACCGATTATTGCGAAGAATATTACTAAGGCCTCGGTAATCTAATGGCTTAGGACGCTCGTACGGAATACAACAGATCCGGGTTCGATTCCCGGCCGAGGTAATATTTTTCGCAATAAATTTAATTACAGATTTTTCAGCATATTAATATCTTTGAAATATGATGCCTGTTTGAGCATCGAAATTATTAGAAATTAATTTAATTCACGAGATTACTACAGTGCAGTGGTTTAATTGCGTTTATATAGTCCGGAAATTTTTCGGCGCGTAGTTTGTTAGACTACAAGTATGGTATATATGTCAAGTACATACATAGCATATTTAGTGATTCAAAATTGAATTATTTAAGCATTTTAAGATCTAGCTTCAATTGATATAGGGTTCTAGTTTATCGATTGTGTTCTCACATGTACGATCTAAAAATGATATTATTATTCTTATATTTCAATTTGAAAATGATAATAAATATAATAAACTATCAAAAGGTGTTGTTAATTAAAAATATGATGTTACTTTATACAACTGTTTCGTGTATATTGTATTTATATAGTTTTCATATTTATTTTTATATAGAAAGTGTAAATATTAACATTTTTAACTTCAAACTTTTGGTAGGGACTGTATATACATATATCAAAGATACATCCTTAAAATAATACTGTTGACATAACATCATTTTTTTCAGAGTGTAGCTGTCTTAAGTGAAAAATAACTTCTAGAAGTAGCATCGTTTTATCATTTGAAAAAACTTTTTTTACAGATTTTACTCAAAAATATCTGTGATTGAAAAATCTATCAATGTATTTAGTCTATCGATATCAATCTATCTCTATTAGTACATATATTGGCAAATAGTTTTTTCGATAGTTTTTGATAGTTAGAAGTGCACTCATTCGTGCCAGAATCTCGTAATAGCGGATCTCGAATTAATGCACAAAATTCCTTCCATGCGCGCTAGAAGCATGTGAGTAGCATGAGTGGGATAATAGAACCGCTACTCCCAATAAGACCCTGAATTTTATGGTTTAGAAGTGAAGTGGGGACAACTTCGTTTATTACATTCAGAGCTCTGAACCGCGCGCTATTACGAGATTTCAGTGTTTAATGCTACATACATTTCCATCTTTAGTACTTAAGTGTAATTAATCTGCACAGATCCTGAATTTAATTTTAAAGTGAATGCTTCAAATATGCAACTTTCCCAGAGGGTTAAACTGCAGAAAAAAATAATATTTCCATTAAATTTCGAGAGAGCAAAATTGCTTTCTCGCGTAAAACGGGGATTAGATATCTATTTTTTTTTAATTTATGCGAAGAAAGTCGCAAATCATGGACTTCGCCGGCCATTTTGCCCTTGGCTTGTTTTCTGAAATCGAAAGAAATCTTTGTAAAAAAAATGGAAGGAGTAGGGATGGATAATAAAATCGGCTGTTTTGTAAACGAATGAATGCAGTTATTTAAATTGGTCAGGAACTTTTCTAGTTAACATTCAAAGAATAACGAAGTCAAGAGTTGCTCTTGTCTTTTGTCGCTCGATGACCCGAGGGTTGGCCGCAAGTGAATCTGCCATATCCTATGGTTCGTTTCTTTTGTTTCTTTCAGTTGTCTTTTTAGTCTTTGATCTCGCATTCCGTCTCGTGGCCCAAGTTCTCAGTGGTTTTCCTTACGAGTTATGAATTATCTTTCATGCATTTTCGCCTGTGTGAGACAGTGAAGGCTTTCGCTGTCAAAGCTCATCTACAAATTTAACGGACTACATCCAACCACGATTGCATAATATAGCTTGTATTTCGTGAATAAATGCAGCAACGGTGCAGCGGGGAATAAATATTTTGTTAAGCGATACACGATGCATGCGATGCTCCTTTGACGTTGAACGCCTCCGACAAGAAAACCGTGATTCTATAATGAATGGTATGCGAATGAGAAAAGTCGTAATCGTGAAAAGGCGAGTCTCCGCTATATAAATAAGGAAAGCACCTTACATTCCTAAAAAAAAAATCGTATTATTTTGTTAGATAATAGATTTTGTTAGATCTTCTATACAAAATATCCGCGGAATAATGTGACGGTGTTAAATGAAGCTAATTCCAGAAAAAATCTATTGCTAAAACATACGTACACATAAAGGCACAATCTGAGCATTGATTAATTCTTAACGCTACATTATGGAAACAACACTGAATGTGACTGTACCCAACCAAATTTAGATTGCCTATAACTTTCATAAAAATAGACATATTCGCTGAAAGAAAAATTTTTCGTATTTGTAACTGTAATTACATATATAGTTCTTATTACTGTAACATTATAACAGTATAATTATAGTAACATGTAATTATAGTTACAAGTACTCACTTTTTCTCTCAGTGTTTTCTCTTAATTAATAATATTTTTCATCGAAATACTAAACATTAAAGAACATAACAGAACCAAGCAAGTATGTATGTGTATTTTTATTAATAGAAAGGTTATTATGGTAAGAAGCTTTATTTTTATAGTTGCATTGCTACAATAATTTTTTATATTAATAATAATTACACACACACACACACACATTTACAGTTCTATCAAAAAATAAATAGTTGGCACGAAAATAATTATAAATTATAGCTAAATTATAATTATAATAATCATTTTTTTTCTCAATGTAAATCTTTTACAGTAATTGCATGTAGGCCGATTAATGTGATCTCAAGAGTCGAAAGTACAAGTTCTTGTGATGATTTCCGAAGGAAACGAAGGTTCATAGGGATTAATTATTTATTAATATCTCGCGAGAGAACTCTCTTCGCTCGAGTGACCGCAGCGTTTTTCCGCGTTCGAGAGTCTCCGTTAAGTATTTAGATTCAGACCTATGTTAAAAGCGTCTTACTGCTATACGCTTCTTTTGACGCCAAGTACGAGATTTATCAGCGCTCTAAGGACGAGACATCGAATAAGATTTTGCTGAAGATCCGCTTCTTTCCACTTTTTAAGTAATCGAAAGATGTCCGACGTGATAATTTATTTCAATTCCCCTCAAAGCTCCGAGGATAAAGTAAGACGAGCGATTAGTACTCATGGAATACTGTACCGTCCAGCTTAACGTTATTCTGTAAAATTACAGTAATACTTTTACGATTTACATGATATTGCAATAATTTTGTTATTGATCCTCTGAAAATATATAATTAATAATATTTGAAGATCGTCGTTAGAGTTATACGAAAACGCGCGACGTTTACAATAATTCTGAATTACGTTATTATGCTCGCTGAGCATAATAACGACGTAAAATATGCGTTGTGGAAAGTGGAATTTATTGAGGAGTCGTCGTGTAAAAGAGTTATTTATATCACGTAAATGTATTCTCTATTGTTGCAGAGGGGTAGTGACGAGCTTCTATCGCAAAGCGGGGCAGTCAGCAATGGTGCTTCAATGAGTCCGCAACCTCATCACGCAGCCGACAACAACAATGACGCCAAGAAGGTGAGTGGTTTTAATTAAAATAAGATACAGCGAGCGGAATCCGATATCGTCAGTGTCAGATTTCACAGAGTCCAAAGATAGGCTCTGAGGCTTTTGTCTAAACGGCAGAAAAGAATCTTCTGACAATCTCATTAGAATAATTATCGTTTATCACTTATAGTTTTATTCGATAATAAACCGTTGCAACAGAATAGTGCATGTAACGAAATAGTACAGTGAAAAACCAGAATTTGAAAAAAGTTAAGCCATTTACCCAATACCTATTACTAAAAATCTCATTGGCTTTGATCTTTGATCCCTTCACGGTCAAATGATTTGATTCATATTTTGCGTCGGTGGAACTAAAGTCCTTGAATATATCTATTGCTGAAAAAGAGATTTGAAAAAATTAAGCCGTTTTCGAGAGCAGACGAATAATTGAACGGATGGACCAACACTTTGAAATTATAAAGCAGTTTTTGCTATGATTCATTTTTTAATAATTTTAAAGAACTCTAAGAAATATGGATGTTCGCGTAAATCCGTCGATATTTTATATTTCGTTCCTCTTCGAAAATTCCTCTTTTCTATTTCGACGACTGTAGTAATACGCGCAACACGACCGAATAAAATACAAGGAACGCCGATAACTTCCTTTTCGGTCCGTCCATTTCGCCGATGGCGGGAGCGGTCGTGCGGAGCTTTTTGGAAGAGCTTTTTTTTCCCTTCCAGCTACCTCGGCGGCGAACCGACCGCAACCAGAACGCGCAACGAACCATAAATCATTGCATACCAAAGAGAAATTCGTATGCAGTGACCTCGATTGAAATGCATCTATTGAAATCTGATCGGTCGCTTTCGCGTCCCCGAAGAGTTCTCGCGTTCCTTCCGGCCTTCCCAGTTGCGACGAACGTATGGATGTCCATCAAAGGGATTGGGAATCGTTTTTTTGGACAAGTCGACTAAAGCTGAATCGTTACTCGTAGAAATTTTTAACAAAACGAGATGGAAAAAAATACTGATGAACTCTTCGCGAAAGTAAACTTAAAATTTTTCGCACAATCTATTAACGTATCGTCGCACGTCAACGAGAGATACGACAAATATTAATTAGCTCCGTGTGTGCAACGTCGACAGTCGTGAGATAATCGACGGCCGTCGGACGAAGAGAAATTATCGACGTGTAGTTCCACAGGAAAAATTAATTCCTGGCGCAGCCCTTGCACGTCACCTCGAGCCGATGAAAACTGCAGTAGAAAGAAAGTGGCCATCCGATAGATAGAATCTGACGATTATTAATCGATCTACTTACAGATTCAGCATCAGTGAAAGAATGGATGATTTTGTGAATGCCATTAAGCAGTCTATTTATGTCTCACTGAAATTGATAGTCGGGTCAAGTGTAAATATTTTATCGGAATATTTCGACGGGACGTCAAAAGTCGACGTCGGAAGTGGAGAGGAAATAAAGAAAGGATTCCGCACTAATTAAATGGAGAGTTCTGATAAAATGAGTTACTTTTCACATATAAAACGATGTCTATAATGAGATTTTAAGGCGTAAAACTTAAACTTCAGGCTTTAACCCGTGAGAAATTGATCAATCATAGTTGATTATTCTGCTCACATTTGACTGTGATTGATCGATTTCTTACAGCTTAAAACTTAAAATTTAAATTTTACAACTTAAAATCTTATTGTAGACATAACTTATAGTGATAAACAAAAGATATCATAGATATAAGACTTAATATTGAATAGTTTTTAAGATATGGTGCATCAAAGGGGTAAAACTTGCACTCACAGAGTACCTTTGATACATCATAGTTAAAAACTATCCATTGGTGAGAACCTAGTGTCTATGATAGTTTTTATTTGCCACATTCTAAGTTACATCATATGTAAAAACTCATTTCTGAGCCAAATTTTTCATGTAATTGCAGACTATTTTCTGCAAATGTTTAGAATTTTCAAGAGATTAAAAAAATTCACGCCTTAAGAACTGAAAGAGTAAGAGGCCAACATTCGTTTCGTAAGAAAAGAGAATAAATGAGGCCATAAGATACGGCCTTTTAGCGTGGTAACGTACCTTAATTAATATTTTGCGCACTGCTGAGGCGACAGCCGTTTATGGCTCAAGCTTTGCCACCATGAGGAGGACGAACGGCACTTTTCTCGCGCACCTGCTCTCGTCACGTATGCTCAACGTCGTCACATGTCGTTTCAACGAAGGACGGTGAAAAAATAGTGAAATTTCCGGGGACGCGAATGACGACGACGACGACGTGTCTGAAAACCGCATGGAACGCCGGGCGTGTCTCGGATCACTTGGTTGCACGTGCAACCGCCGGATGTGCCGAAAGTTCGACCTCGTTCCTCGCGTCGTTAATCATTTTCCGTATAGCTAGTAAACAGAAGCAAACCGTGGCGCGATACGTGTAAAGCGTTACGCGGCCGCGGGCTTTCATTTTCCGTGGAATTTACCGAAATTCCTGTTTAACTGAATCCACGAGTTTGCGTCACCGAAAAATGCCGATACAGTTTGATTAATAGCTCGGTCGGAACGTAGTTCGTGCTTTCGCCCGTTCGCCCGTTCGTATTTTAATCGGGAAACGTAATGACCGATGCACTCTTTAAAACCCCTGAGTTATCTTTTGGCACATGTTTTTATAAATTACGAAGAGACGTGTGGCCATTTAGTGTGTGACATAAATCGACGTATCGGGCAGTAACGCCGTGCGTTATTTCTCCCAACGTTACCGTCATTTTTGATCATGACAAACAATGTCATTTGAAAATGTCAGGACAATCTTAATAGCCTCGTTAAAATAACTGCCGGAGCGAAGCCGTTCCCGTCGGCCAGTCTGACTTTTTAGTGGCTGAATAGACACGTCTAAAATATTATTTTGCACCGCTCACGTTTTAATCACACTAAATGCATTTTAATTATCACGAAATGCCCGTCGCGAATAATAATAATTTTCAAAGCGTTCTTTGATACATTGATATTAGTTCTTTTGCAGAAATTAAATGCTAATTAATTTTACTGTAATTATATCTGCTTGCAGCGCGTTCTTTTTCTTGTCACAAATAACAACGAGTGATACTGTTTTACAGAACATTTGCGGAAATGAAAATAATCATGCCGTGGCGCCTGATGTTTTTCACAATACGAGTTGCACAAATATCTCGTTGAGAATGCACGCATTACAATAGCCCAACATGTAACGCAAAACCGTTGTGTCTATCGACGATCGTTAATGTTCGCGTGTTCCTTTCTTTTTTTTTTCGCGCGGACGTGTGCTTTTTACGCACGGCGTCGCGACGCGCGAGGACGGAGAGAGCGGTGTAGAGATTCGGTGACAAAGGCGCGCCCTTCGTTGCCCGCCTTTTACTTTGAAAATGTACACGCTCTCTATTTATCTTATTTTCGACGGTCTCGTACGACGAGAAAAACTCGAGGAAATTATTAGCCGTCGTCGAGTATACGTATGCTTCGCATTACCTGAAATTGCAACATTTACGGAGCGCGCGAGAAAATGCCGCGAGAAATACCACGTGAGTAGTTATATTAAAGTTAACTTGCCAGATTAGCGCGTGTAAGACAAACGATGAGATTTTGGACAAGGAAAATGTTGAAGATTTGAAAGCGCGTTAACGAGACGCATATGATTTTTATCGACTTACATAATAACAAAATAATCAGGATATTTACTAATTACAAAAATCTGAAAAAGCTAGATTTTTCAAAGAATTTCTGTTTTATCCTTGTTGAGAGAGAGAGAGAGAGAGAGAGAGAGAGAGAGAGAGAGAGAGAGAAAATCAGGATAAAATTATATTGAGATTCGGGGAAATCTTTATCTTCTTTTTAAATTTAAATTTTATTTCTTTCCGAAAATATTATTGTATTTCTTAGGTTATTTTTTTTCTTGATAATGCACAAGGTTGACAATGAGCAAATATGACATTTATGTACATTCTTTTGCAACTCGCGAGTTTTTATGTAAAAAAATGATGGTGAGACGAAAGAAGGCAGTACTCAGTATAGAATAGAGTAGCTCATTGATACTATATTGTAGTAAGCATTATACTATTCTATAGCTTCGCGACTCCAATTGCAGGAAACAATAGAAAATCTTGTAAAATCCCTGTTTTTCATTAATTTTCATATATAATTTCTTTGTGTTGTGCTTATACTCTAATTTATATTTTAAATTTGCTTTAAAAAATTCTCTAATTTTTTACCTGGAATTTTGAAATATTTGGAAAATCTGGGAATTTTTTTTCATAAGATTTCAATAAACATTCTGAAAATAAATAAAAAATTTGTAGACGTATTTTGATTTTATTTTTAGAAAAATAAGCTGTTCTTGGAAAGATTTAAAAAATTCATATTTTGTGTCTACAAAGCAATTCGAATGGCAATTTGTCAGCTTCTTTTCTAAACATAGCTCCGAAATCTTTTTTCGATTGTTGAATTGATCCTGGCCAGAGCAATTTCGCCCCCAACCCATCGCGGTATATATTTCGGGACGATGTTGCCATAACATGTACGCCTCTCTCAGTTAATATAAATTGGTGTTCAAGAAAAAGTAGGAGGGAGGATGCTATTTATCAGTGAACTGTTCGTTATGACTGTAATCCGTATTAATAAAAGTCAATTCCTTGGAGAGGTGGGCGGGGGATTGCGATTTCGTTCTGAATGAAACAGCGTTTTCTTATCAAACATATTTGAAGAACATGGGCAGATGCGCTTTCATTTTTTCTCCTCGAAATTCAGAAGCTGACTGAAGAATAATCACTCGTTATCATATCATGCGTGCGATATATATATATATCGGCCATTTTTCTCTTTTATCGTTTACTCTCCCTTTCTCTTTCGAGATTTTCTCTTCCTTTCTCTCGTTCTTTTTCGTTTAGGGACGTTCTATCTTTCCATAATCCCTTGCGTACTTTTGATGTTTGTCTTTACATTTCACAAAGTCTTCGACGTTTTACCTAAGAAGATTTTCGAAGTTTTT